AGGGCAAGATAGTTTACTTTTTAGTATAATTATATCTATAAATAATTTTATGCTGTCTTAAAACAGAAAATCCAATAAATTTTAACCTATGGTGCAAAGTGAATAGAATCTTCGAGATCTAAGCTCCTTTAGTTGGCTTAGGATTCTTTCAGAGGAAAAAGGAGAAATACCCCCCAAAATGGTGTATAGAATCTGAAGGACTTGAGGGCTTTAAATTAAGCAAGTGCCTCATGTGGTCTGTGCTTGCAAAGGTGACTGGGGTGAGACTTGTAGTAAACCTGTAGCTGGTTGAAGGATCAGAAGGAGGAAAAGCAAAAGGGGAAAAGGAAATGTGGGGAACAGGTGGAAGAAAAGGAACTGGGAGGAGAGGGAGAGAAAGAGAGAGAGGAGAGAGAGAGAGAGAGAGAGAGAGAGAGAGAGAGAGAGAGAAGAAGAAGAAGAAGAAGAAGAAGAAGAAGAAGAAGAAGAAGAAGAAGAAGAAGGGAAGAGGAGAAGAGAAGAGAAGAGAAGAGAAGAGAAGAGAAGAGAAGAGAAGAGAAGAGAAGAGAAGAGAAGAGAAAGGGAGAACAAATTATATGATGTAAAATGATAGGAAGTATTCCACAAAGGGCATGAACTTTAGAATTTAGTCCCCGGTCTATCACTAATTATTGCTGTGTCTGTGAGTGTATCTCTGAATCTCTCTAAGCCTAGTTTCATCATCTGCAAAATAGTGCTAATAATACTTATCTGGAAGGGATATTGTCAGTATCAATTTAATGAAATATAGTAGTCCCCCTTATCCACAGTTCAGCTTTCTGTAACTGCAACCACTGACTGTTGACTGCAGTCCAAAGATATTAAATGGAAAATTACAGAAATAAACAATTCATAAATTTTAAATTGCATGCCATTCTAAGTAGTATGATAAGTTCACACACTGTGTGCCCCTTGGAGAAGCGTGGACTGCTGTAATGTGTGTAAAAAATAATTCTTGTAAGACAATGAGAAAAATTGAATACTGACTGTACTAAGGAATTATTTATCTAATTTTAGGTGTGGTATGATGTTATGTTTCTAAATAGTCATTATATTTTAGGTTTCATAATTAAATATTTAAGTAAAAGGTGAAAGGTTTATGCGATCTGAAGAGCAACCAGAGTATTTTCTAAATATCCAGTGTGCACGTAAGATTAAGTGAATAGGTTTACAAAATTTCCCATGATTTGATCATTGTTAAAGCTGGACTGTTGATAAATGGATCTATTCTCACTCTACTGTATGTAGTTGAAATTTTCCATAACGCTAGTTTGTAGTTTGTTTGTTTTTAAGTGTTCCATGAAAGACGAAAATAGGCACAGAAGCATTCAACTTGAAGTTATGATAGTTTTTAAAGTTCTCTCTCTCTCTCTCTTTCTCTCTCAGATATTTTTATTGATTTTAGAGAGGAAGGTAGAGGGAGAGAGAGATAGAAACATCAATGACGAGAGAGAATCATTTATTGACTGCTTCCTGCACACCCCGTACTAAGGATTGAGACCACAACCAAGGCATGTGCCCTTGACCAGAATTGAACCCGGGACCCTTCAGTCCACAGGCCAATGCTTTATTCACAGAGCCAAACAAGCTAGGGCAACATTAGTTACATTTTAAGTGCTCACCTAGCCACATGTAGCTAGTGGCTAGCACACTGGACTGAGTGTGGCTAGTGGCTACTACACTGGATAGAGCTCTCTCTCTTTTAAAATCATACTTAGAAAACCCTGAGTATCCAATTGCCACTCTGGGCTGTAAGACTGAGAAATGTAACCCTAAATATTATATATACAACAAGAAATGATAGCAAAAGACAGCAATGTTCCCTTTATTATTGACCGTATTAAGCCCCAAATTTAATTAATATATTTTCTAATTTAAAAAACAATGCAAAAATGGTGATTGAGCCCTGGCCAGTGTGGATCAGTGGCTGGAGTGTCAGCCTGCGAACTGAAGGGTCGTTAGTTTGATTCCCGATCAAGGGCAAGTATCTGGGTTGCAGGTTCAATTCCCTACCTGGTTGGGGGCATGCGGGAGGCAGCTAATTGATGTGTCTCTTTTGCATCCATGTTTCTCTCT